AAGCTTCTCCAAACACATTTTGATCATGTCAGCATTTAACTCCACTGGCACAATTCGATACTTATACTCACCATTAGATTTGGGATGGTACATTAACAGAAATAGATTGTAATAAAAAAGCCAACTACAAATTTTAAAATATATCCACACAAGAAATGGGTATCTAAGCCTACCATAAGATGTCCACTTCACTTGGGACATAAGGAGTTGATCCCATCCATGTTTATTTAATTCCAGCTTTCCTTGTTGTGTTAAAAAACCAACACTCCAGGGCTAGAGAAATGGTTCAGTGATTAAGAGCACTGGCTGGTCTTGAAGAGGGCCCAGGTTTGGGTCCCAGCCCCACATGGCACCTAACAACCATCCTATCTCCAGTTCTAGGGGATTCCATGCCTTGTTCTGGCTTCTGGAGGCACTGAATACATGAGTGCACTTACATACATGCAGGCAAAACACTTATACACATAAAAAATGGCAGTCAATGCCATTACCAAGATGAAAGATATGCAAATCCATAAAGTGCTGGGGCCCGTCTTTAGGGAATCTTCTATCCCTACCTGCTAAGGACAAGGATGGTGGGGACAGGGAAGCTTACTTCTTTTCTGAACCCCCAGAGGGCTCCACCTTGGGGTTGTTATTTCTTGACATGTCCTCTAGTGAATGCATACTGCCACCCGCCTGAGAACAAGCATGTGTCACTCTCTGCACCATAAATGCCAAAGAATTAAGAGGCCACACATCAGGGGCCAGATACCAGAACAGGCCTGGGCTCAGCTCTGACACTCACTAGCACTGGGACCCTCAGGAAGCAACAGAATAGAATCTATGGACCTGGTCCTTCCTTCCACATGGAGGCAATCACTAAGAAGAAAGGGAGAGATGGAAAGGAGGAAAGGGAAGGGGGGAAAAGAGAGGAGAATGAAAAACAGGAGTTTGGAGGAAAGAAAGTCAAAGCTGATTTAGGCAACTCCCAATGGGGAAAGCAGCCTAGAGAATTTGTGAGTGTGTATTCTTGGACTGGAGTCTTCATGCTTCAATATTTACTATGTTATTCCTCTTTTAAATTTGCTCTGTGGTCTCTGAGAAGTTGTCTTCCACATTTTATTCAAGTATTTGATTTTTTTTTTTTTTCTTGTACAATCTATAAAAGATCTTGGAATCCTGATGCATGCAACAACCCTGGGACAGAGGTAGAATCAAAGTTCATATAAACTACAGGTACGCCAATAGCTGCTAAGACCCTCAGTATATTAGCTCAGTCTAGAGACACATCTAAATACCTCTAAGACTTTAGTTGGCAAAATCTTCTGTTGAGGATGAGACAAATGCTAGTTCAATAGGAGCTGAAGTATAAATCACCCCAGTCATACAGACCTGGAAAAGGCTTGTGCAATCTCCTGGTTGTTTCCTTATCTTGAGGCAAACTGTGGTCACTATTTTCTATTGCTGGACCAGACAGGGAATAACATGTCCCCAATGTCAAACTACCTCCATCATAAAAAGGTACACATGAAACAAAATGCAAACATTCTAAAAGTGAGACTATTTGAAAATATCTATTAGAAGTCATGTAAGAGATATGATTGTGATATTCTTTTCGAAATGGAAGTGAACATTTACATTACAAAACACAGGGAATGAAAAATCCATCTGTCACCTATTATATCCACATTAAAGAACTTGCCCACTTGAGAATAATTCCTAAATATCACCACCTTTATTCTCAAGCTATATGCATTGAATGCCTATAATAAAGCTGCATTAGTGAAGCATTCTTTAGTCTAGCTTTACCAACCAGGCAGTTCTAGGTTATAAACAACCACTTTTGGAAAGCTCAATACATGGAATCAGGCTGGGGTATGGCTCAGTGGTAGCACAGCAGGGCTGATGTCCAGCATCACACACACTGAAAAGGACCTTTAAAGATAGATATCCAAAACTGGGACCCAGGCTCTGGTCATCCTCAGTGGTAGCTGGCCCTAAGTATTTCTAAAGCTTTCTTTTCAGAAATACCAGGTTTGTATCTTGCAAAAAGACATCACAGTTACATATTGTTCATCAGAGGGCAATCAGTTCAAGAACAAAGACAGCAGGAGATAATTCAAATTCTCACTGGGTAATGGGCCAGGACAGAGAAATCATAAGAAATGACAAAAGGTTACCACATGAAACCAAGCTTGGACATTTAGATCAGAAGTACAGCTGGCAGGTGTTCTTATGAATATTTGCAAGAATTAAATGTGCCAATCATTACCTTCTCCTGTTACAACTACAGGGACCTGCCTCACACACCCCACGGGATTATATCATTTAGTCAGGCATAGATTGCTGCTCCTACATTTCCCCTATCCTTTCCTGCCTCCTCAGCTTAAGCAGTACAGAAGTCTAACTTAGAGGGGACCTTCTCAGTCAGCAACACATAGCCCTCCCCCTCCCCCAGGGGCCAAGAAGGTCCTGCCTCTATGAAGCAGCTCTTCCTCCATGAAACCTAGCCACACCTAGCTCCCTGGTCCTCTATTCTACCTAAGGTTCACCCTCTTCTCTTGAGGACAGCAGGGAAACTCAAGGTGAAACTAGGGGACAACTTGCAGGTGTAAAGGTGAGTTACCAATGGTTTATCTGCAAGAAGCTTGGTTCTAAGCTAAAAAGGCATGGTGGGTATTTTTCCAAGGAAGAGCAATGGAAGGTACATAACCATCTGAAACCTGAGGCCACTCTGGCTGGCGGCCTCACTTCTCTAGTTTGTACAGTTATTGTAATAAATACCTTTCTTTGTAACTTCACACCTCTTATTTGGTTTATAGAAATGCTTTCCATACCCACAATTACATTGTCCTATTACTCTTTCCCTTCCCACACTCTGGAAGGCAAGAGCAAATGCTCTGCTGGGAGGAAAAAATGCTGAACTTCATTTTTCAGCTATTCTGAATATAAAGAACATTTCTATCTCAAAGTTTCCTTCATTTTCCATGCCAATCCCATTACTACCTTAAAAAAAATTTCGTTTGCTTAAAATCACTACAAAAATAAATCTCAGTCTTTTAAAATAAAATCATTTTTTAAGATATTTATTTTGTGTGTATGAGTGTTTTGCCTGCATGTATGTAAATATACCTATGCCATGCAATGCCAGAAGAAGCCAAAAGCTTTTGATCCCCTAGAACTGGAATTATAGGTGGCTGTTAGCTGTCATGTAGGTGCTGGGAACCAAATCAGGTTCCTCTGCAAGAGCAGCCAGTGCTCTTTACTGAGCCATATCTCTAGCCCCAAATCTCAGTCCTTAAAAAAAAAAAATTATGGCCAGGCATGGTTACTCACACCTTTAGTCCTACTACTCAGGAGGCAGAGGCAGGGGGATCTCTTAAGAGTTTGAGGCCAGCCTGGTCTGCATAGGGAGTTCCAGGTCAGCTGGGGCTACAGGAAGACCATCCCAAAAGACCAAAAAAAAAGGGGGGGGGGTGCCTGGAGAGATGGCTCAGCGGTTCAGAGCACTGACAGCTCTTGCGGAGGACCCAGATTTGATTCTCAGCACTCACTTGGTGGCTAACAACTGTCCATAACTCCAGTTTCAGGGGATCCAACACCCTCTTCTGACTTCCTTAGGCATTGCATGAACTGGGTGTACCTACCTACCTGCAAGCAATACACTCATACACATAAAACAAAATATTTTTAAAAACTTTTAACATTTATGCTGTGTTTGTGTATGTGTGCACACATACTTGCACACACACACACACATGCATGCTACAGCACATGTGTAAAAGTCAGAGGACAACACAAGGTTATCAGTTCTCTCCTTCCACCATGTAGGTCCCAGGGGTCAAACTCGGGTCCCCAGACTTGGTGGCAGGAACCTTTACCTAACTGAGCCATCTCGATGCCCCTCACTCTTCTTTTAAAAGTTGTCATAGCGCTATCTCCTTTTAGTTTCCCTTGCCCTCCATGGTTTGACTTCTCTAACAGAACTAGTTTTACTTATTATAAGGTTTTTCATTCCATTTCCACCTAATAAACTACATCTTCCTTCAAAAGATCAATTGTCATTTATAAATACACATAATTCACTTATAGTATTGTACTTAATGTTTATAAAAAGAAAACCGGAAAAGAACTAGTTTGTCACATGACCAACCACTTTGATCCCTCCTATGATACAAACAGAACATTTCCTTTCCTACCAACCCTTTAAAATTACAGAAAAATCTTTCATCTTTGTTGGCATAAGTAAAGAGTTATCACATCAAAAGAA